AAACGGCCGTCTGCAGCGCAGGACTCAGACAAACTGCTGTCGATACTCTGCATGGGGAGACATTCGCTTTATTGACTTTACAGAGAAAATTTGATCAAATTAGAAATATATTTATAGAAAAAACCTTAAACTAACCATAGAAAAAAAGTCTGTTTCTAGACAGGAGAAGAACATCGATTGAAGGTTTAATTAAGAAAAGGCTTAAACCATCAGTTAATCAGGCATGGAGGTTTAAAACCGTCATCTTGTATTTTTTAGTGGTGAGAAAACAACTTAATGGGCATTACTGCCTCCTGCTGGTAAGGAGGTGTAACTGAATTATGATGTTTACAAATAAATAAATATAAATATGTATAAATCAATGATAACATGGTCGGCATGAAACTGGACTCACTGGTGACGGTAGCAGAGAGGAGGACACTGGACAAACTGCTGGACATTATTGACAATGTCAGTCATCCCCTGCACACCGTCATCAGCAACCAGAGGAGCCTGTTCAGTGGGAGGCTGCTCCTTCCCAAATGTAGGACCAACAGACTCAGGAACTCCTTTGTCCCTCATGCCATCAGGCTCTATAACTCCTCCCTGGGGGGGAGCAGGAAATAGAGTTAAGAGAACAGAAGTGAAGGAGTTGTAGTTACTCGCTGTGGTTTTTATAATCTGGACACTCTTTTTTTCTCAACCATTCAAGTGCAATACACTACATAACTGTTAATTTAAGTCATTGTTTTTGCTATAGCCCTCTGTATTTATTTGTCTATCCTCATCCCCCAATACATCTTCCTACACCTTATTTAATTGATTTTATTTTTCTATTGTATATACTGTGTCTAAATATCCTCTATTTTCTTGTATGTGCAATTTTTCCTGCTACTGGAAATACAATTTCCCGAAGGGAGTAATCCCAAGGGATTAATAAAGTCAAGTCTAAGTCTAAGTCTATAAATAAGTCCTCTTTAATAAGCCAATATTCAAAACAAACAGCAATATGAATTAATAGGTTTTCAAATTCCAACTGAAGATGATCAACCGGTTGGTCGACCAGGCTGTTAAAAGGCTACAGCTTCTATTCATTCATCCATCTATGATCTCTTTCTGATCATAAAAGTTTTCCTTTCCAAAGTCTCCAGTTTGAGCAAATCTCCTCAGTGTCTGATATATGCTTGCAGCGACAGTGGAGAGGAAAAACTCCCTTTTGACAGGAAGAAACCTCCAGCAGAACCAGGCTCAGTGTGAGCGGCCATCTGCTGAGGCCCACTGGGGTTCAAGGAGACAGAAGCAGACGTAGAAAAAGAAGCGTAGAAGCTCTGATCTGATAGGTGGGCTGGGGCAGAGATAACAGCCTGATCCTGACAGGGAGACGTTCTCCATGTTCAGGATCATACGCTTTTTTTGCTCCATGTTTTTTCTCCCACAGTTTACATCTGATAACTGCTGCACTTTAAGGAATGGAAGTGTTAATTTACTGTCTGACAGGCTGTACTAAACCAAATGTCATTTTATAAAATGACAATAAAAGTTGTCTAAGTGATCTATAAACACTTTCTATGTTAGAAAAGCTAATGGTAAACTAGCTCCACAGGCGGCTCTGTCAGGAAAGAAGCGGTCAAAGTAGAAGCTAACAAACGTAGCGGTAAAGATGGCGTCTGTGGTCAGTATGAGGAGGCATGAAGATGAAGCTGATAGAAAATACATCAGTCCTCTAATGAGCATTTCAGTTAGCGCTGCATGCTACCTGCAGGCTACACATCTGACAGCTAACTGTCAAGTATTAATGCTAGCTGCATAATATTGATGCTAGCTGCATATTAATGATGCTAGCTGGATAATATTGATGCTAGCTGCATAATATTGATGCTAGCTGCATAATATTGATGATATGCTGCATAATATTGATGCTATGCTGCATAATATTGATGCTAGCTGCATAATATTGATGCTAGCTGCATAATATTGATGATATGCTGCATAATATTGATGCTATGCTGCATAATATTGATGCTAGCTGCATAATATTGATGCTAGCTGCATAATATTGATGCTAGCTGCATAATAATGATGCTAGCTGCATAATATTGATGATATGCTGCATAATATTGATGCTAGCTGCATAATATTGATGCTAGCTGCATAATATTGATGATATGCTGCATAATATTGATGCTAGCTGCATAATATTGATGCTAGCTGCATAATATCAATGCTAGCTGCATAATAATGATGCTAGCTGCATAATATTAATGCTAGCTGCATAATAATGATGCTATGCTGCATAATATTGATGCTATGCTGCATAATATTGATGCTAGCTGCATAATATTGATGCTAGCTGCATAATATTAATGCTATGCTGCATAATATTGATGCTAGCTGCATAACATTGATGCTATGCTGCATAATATTGATGCTAGCTGCATAATATTAATGCTATGCTGCATAATATTGATGCTATGCTGCATAATATTGATGCTAGCTGCATAATATTGATGCTAGCTGCATAATATTGATGCTATGCTGCATAATATTGATGCTAGCTGCATAATATTAATGCTAGCTGCATAACAATGATGCTATGCTGCATAATAATGATGCTATGCTGCATAATAATGATGCTAGCTGCATAATAATGATGCTATGCTGCATAATAATGATGCTAGCTGCATAATATTAATGCTAGCTGCATAATATTGATGCTAGCTGCATAATATTGATGCTAGCTGCATAATATTGATGATATGCTGCATAATATTGATGCTATGCTGCATAATATTGATGCTAGCTGCATAATATTGATGCTAGCTGCATAATAATGATGCTAGCTGCATAATATTGATGATATGCTGCATAATATTGATGCTAGCTGCATAATATTGATGCTAGCTGCATAATATTGATGCTAGCTGCATAATATTGATGCTAGCTGCATAATATCAATGCTAGCTGCATAATAATGATGCTAGCTGCATAATATTAATGCCAGCTGCATAATAATGATGCTATGCTGCATAATATTGATGCTATGCTGCATAATATTGATGCTATGCTGCATAATATTGATGCTAGCTGCATAACATTGATGCTATGCTGCATAATATTGATGCTAGCTGCATAATATTAATGCTATGCTGCATAATATTGATGCTAGCTGCATAATATTGATGCTAGCTGCATAATATTAATGCTATGCTGCATAATATTGATGCTAGCTGCATAACATTGATGCTATGCTGCATAATATTGATGCTAGCTGCATAATATTAATGCTATGCTGCATAATATTGATGCTAGCTGCATAACATTGATGCTATGCTGCATAATATTGATGCTAGCTGCATAATATTAATGCTATGCTGCATAATATTGATGCTAGCTGCATAATATTGATGCTAGCTGCATAATATTAATGCTATGCTGCATAATATTGATGCTAGCTGCATAACATTGATGCTATGCTGCATAATATTGATGCTAGCTGCATAATATTGATGCTAGCTGCATAATATTGATGCTATGCTGCATAATAATGATGCTAGCTGCATAATATTAATGCTAGCTGCATAATAATGATGCTATGCTGCGGCTACATTAGGTTTCAGCTGTCAGACTGTTTGTAGGAGTCTCAGCAGTTCTAAGTCGCTCCAACAAGCTAAAATATGGATCTTCTCATCAGATGGTCAAGATGTCGACTTTCAGGTGATTAAATCACAGGTTAATGATGCTAACGCTCTTTGACAGCCAGGGTTGCCAACGGTCCCTTGAAAAACGGAGTGGTTCCGTATTTAGAAATAGAAGCAGATGTCCCGTATTCAGTGGAAAAGGAACGCACTTTGTCCCGTATTACTGTGAGAGTAAAAAACAGTCAGTAAAAAGCTAATGGAAAATGAAGAACTAAGGCACGTTAGATACAAAAATTACGGTAAAGTTGTCCCTGTCCTGCATTGTGACCAATGAGCTGACAGCATATATGTAACCATCCAGAATCCCCTCATCCTATTGGTCGAGCCAAGTGTTGCTCACAGAGAAGATAGCGGGAGGCATCAGAGCAGGATGGAGGACGAACGGAGGAATTTAAACACTGACGCAGTTTTACTCTGCAGCATTTAAAGACAATCAACTCCTCACTGCTGCAGGAGGAAATACAGGCGGATAAAGTCGCCACATTATGGAGCATTGAGATAATCATTTGTTCTGTTTTATAACTGTAGCCTACATTCATTACATTTAAGACACAAATATGTTTACAAGTTTGCTGTTGCACCAAAAATCTGCAACATTTATTTATTTATTTATTTATTCATTTATTGTTTTCTATTCATTTTCACAGATCAAAGTGCAGCAGGACAGGCTTATGTTTAAGATTCTTATTTTATTCAGCAATGTTTGTTGCTGAATAATAATTGGTTTTCCATGTGTTCCTGTCACTAATATGCCTCTAATTCAAAGCAGATTTGAGTCAAATAATTAAAAAAATCATTTCACACACAAAGGGGGGCTAAAAATAAACTCACCACACCAAGAGGGGGGGGGGGGGGGGGGGGGGGGTCAGCTGGGACGTAGAGGTGAACCTTGTTCTTCTCAGGGTAACCCTCCTGACAGCACTCTGATCCTTGCTTTCTGTTTTAACCAATGACAAGCAGGTATTTCTCTGACACGGCAGCGTTTTAGCCAATCATGTTAGTACTGATATCTGATGCACTTTTTTACATTGTCTGGATGTTGTGCTGCAGGCCAGTAAAAATAAAAACCTGCCCTGGCGCCTCATAAAGGAGGACAGACAGGCGTCCTGCTGGATGCTGCTGGACGCCGGACGTCTGGTCACCCTAGTTCAGACCAGGTCCTGGAGAAGGACGTGCAGATCGATGCGTTTCAGATTCTCAGCTTAAGGTTTTCCTTTTTTCTACATTTCCAGAAGCCCGGCTGCCTCCAGACGCTGCTGTTCAGATGTTCTGACGTTCAGTTCCTCCGCCCTGATGCTGGATTTGCTGGCTTTTACTCTGCAGGTCATGCTGGAGCAAATGCAAGGCCTGATGCATCTGGAGCTGTCAGGATGCAACGACTTCACAGAAGCCGGCCTGTGGTCCAGCCTCAACGCCAGGCTGACCTCCCTCAGCGTCAGCGACTGCATCAATGTGGCCGATGACGCCATCGCTGCTATCTCCCAGCTCCTGCCCAACCTGTCAGAGCTGAGCCTGCAGGCCTACCACGTCACTGACACAGCCATGGCCTACTTCACAGCCAAACAGGTGGGCTCTCCAAACATCTCACCATGTTTCCTGCTCCAGTCAGTCATCAGAGGGCTGCTAGTCCTGATAAACAATGAAAATCTCTTCCTAGGGCTACACCACCCACACTCTACGGCTGCAGTCCTGCTGGGAGATCACCAACCATGGGGTGGTGAACATGGTCCACAGTCTCCCCAACCTGACCGCCCTCAGCCTCTCTGGCTGCTCCAAGATCACGGACGACGGCGTGGAGCTGGTGGCCGAGAACCTGAGGAAGCTCCGCAGCCTGGACCTGTCCTGGTGCCCCCGGATCACGGACATGGCCCTGGAGTACATCGCCTGTGACCTGCACAAACTGGAGGAACTGGTGCTGGACAGGTTAGAGAGAAAGCAGAGTCTCAGACGGATCAAACATCTGAAGGGGCAGAGCAGGAAAAGGAGCGAAAATCACCAAGCAAAGGGAAAAAAGTTTAATAATGAATATTTTCTAGGGGATAGAAATATCTGAAATGATGGGTTTACTTTAGTTCCTGTTAGGTGTCAGGATTTAATTAAAGGTCTCAAAATGCAGAAGTCCAATCAGAGAGACACAGAGGAAAAGTTAAACGGGTTTTATTGAAGAGATTAAGCTTGGTGCAGAGTTTCTCTGAACTCTGCTCTGCCGGAACTGGAAGATGAGGGGAAGATGCGGTTAGTTCAGGCTCAGTGGGACATTTGATTCTTAGGCTTGAATTGGAGGAATAGTTTGCAGACTCACTTCTCCAGAAAAAGGTGTCCTTTATGGAATCCAGTCTGTGTGGAATGTTCCAGTGATTGTCTTGTTTGGTGGTGGGCGGACGGAGATTACTCAGACTGCCGTTTTTCCTGGGTGAATAGAGAAGCTGACTGCCACTCAGATTTCCTGCGGTACTTGAACGGGCTGCGGTGCGGATGAAACCTTTGCTCAGTGTGAAGCTCAAACGACCTGTTGGGGAAAGTGGATCCAAACTTCCTGTTTGGAACCCCAGCTCAGTTAGAAGCTCAGTTGATCCTTCCAGAGAGAGAAGGTCCGAAACATTCAGTTTGCAGGGTGACTTCCTGTCGAGAGACAAAGACAAAAACAAGTTAAGACTCAGGTTGACAAGAACTCAGCTTGGCTAGAGAATCCAAAAACTCAGGTTAGACTCTGCTAAACTAAGCATGGCTATAGTACCCTGTTTAGGCAAACACTCTGGTGTCGAGGTAGTGGCAGTCAGCAGCTTAAGAACACTCCACAGGTAATGAGGCAACGAGCTGCAGGTGTGCAGGGAGACCCAATGAGGACGGGGCACCACCTAGTGGAGGAGGAAAGGAAACACAAAAACAGACCAAACAAACTGGATTCCTGACATTAGGAAAGACTAGAAGCTCCTTTAAATTAGAGCTGAGTATCATTGAAACAGGTCTTTGCTTAAAAAAAACATTATCTGCACAAAGCGTTCAATCTAGTTCTATTCAGTTTATTTCTATAGCCCCAATCCCCATCATGTCATCTCAGGTCACTTTATAGATCCATACCAACCAGATCATCCAGCCAGGTTTAAAGTTTTCTATCTAAGGAAAACCAGCTGATTGCATCGACTCATTGACTCTTCAGCAATCCCTCACACTAAGCATGCTTGTAGCGACAGTGGAGAGAAAAAACTCCCTTTGAACAGGAGGTGGAAAACGTAGATAACTTTGCTCCAGTTCTAACAACCTGTGAGATTTCCAGCCAATATTTCAGGACTAATGGACAAAAAGCCGAAACTCAGACATAAAAATCCAACTTTGGGTTTTTTCTTACTCAGGATTCTGACCTTTGGCCTTTCTGATTCTTCTTCTAATGACACACCGGAGCGTTTCCTCCAGATGGAGCAACAAACTGCTTCCTTAAACTCATCTGGTGTCGCTAAATCAAGAAAATGTCCTTTTATTATAGAAAACTCCAGATAGAAGCTGTTCTGTTGTGGATGCTTGTAAACGTGGTATTTAGTACAGTGGGACCTATAGGACTCAGATGTTTGCAGAGAGAGGAAGTACAGCTTCTGTTGTCTCTGGATCTATTATTCTTCCCCTGAACAAATAGAAAAGATCAAACAGAGACTTTAATCAAGTGTATGATAATAAATGCAGATATAAAATGTTTTTATTTGTTTAACATAATTCTGCAAATATTAATTTGATTGTTTTTATATAGAATTTTACGATAAATTAGAATATGCAAAATTACATAATTAAATGTTCCATAAGATAATTAGAAAATACATTTAAAACGATGTATTAAACAGCCAAATATTCAGATTTAAGTATTTATATGTATTTTATTCTGCTGTTTTTTTCTGTCTGTTTTACGGTTGAAATATTCAGGAACTTTCGGATTAACAGAAACTTCAAATCAAGTCAGGATTTGATGAAATAAACTTTCCTCTCTTCTTCGGTGGTATCACCTGCTGTGAAGGAATTAGCCCAATTAGCCGTTGAAGCTAAAGCCTCTTCATTTCTCTGTTTGCTGAACCAAGTTCAGAAGCTAAAGCTGTCCAGTTAGCAGCAGCAGCTCCTCTGACCCTCTCACGGGGCCCAGGTGGACTGTCAGGGGCCCCCAGCGGGTTCCCTATTCAGGCTGCTGAAGCTCCGCCTGACTACAAACCTCTGACATGCTCTGTCATCAGGACCGTGAAGTGTCCGTTCTCAGGTGGACCCGGTTCTCGCGCAGCATTCAGGTGTTCTGTCTCTCTGCAGGTGTGTGCGGATCACTGACACGGGGCTGGGTTACCTGTCCACCATGTCGTCCTTGAGAAGCCTTTATCTGCGCTGGTGCTGTCAGGTAAAGTCATTCAGGTCATTTCATCATAAAACCAGTCGCTGCTGTTCTCAAGAAGATATTAAGGGAAAATATTGGAGTTCAGGAAACCGCCTTTGTTTTATAATTAATTATAATTCTTTAATATAAAAGTTTATTCACCATAAAAGCTTCAGTTTGTTAATGAGACATAAAGGAAAGAAGAAACGAAAAATCGCCTCATTCTGCCGATTTCAGCAGTGAAAGCAGAAAACTTGAAATGTTTTTAACTTCTTGGAACTTTACCCCATTTGGTCCAAATGGACTTTGACTAGGCCGGAACTATCTCTGACTTTGACTAGGCCGGAACTATCTCTGACTTTGACTAGGCCGGAACTATCTCTGACTTTGACTAGGCCGGAACTATCTCTGACTTTGACTAGGCCGGAACTATCTCTGACTTTGACTAGGCCGGAACTATCTCTGACTTTGACTAGGCCGGAACTATCTCTGACTTTGACTAGGCCGGAACTATCTCTGACTTTGACTGGGCCGGAACTATCTCTGACTTTGACTAGGCCGGAACTATCTCTGACTTTGACTAGGCCGGAACTATCTCTGACTTTGACTAGGCCGGAACTATCTCTGACTTTGACTAGGCCGGAACTATCTCTGACTTTGACTAGGCCGGAACTATCTCTGACTTTGACTAGGCCGGAACTATCTCTGACTTTGACTAGGCCGGAACTATCTCTGACTTTGACTAGGCCGGAATTATCTCGGACTTTGACTAGGCCGGAATTATCTCGGACTTTGACTAGGCCGGAATTATCTCGGACTTTGACTAGGCCGGAACTATCTTTGACTTTAACTAGGTCGGAATTAACTCTGACTTTGACTAGGCCGGAACTATCTCGGACTTTGACTAGGCCGGAATTAACTCTGACTTTAACTAGGCCGGAATTAACTTTCACTTTAACTAGGCCGGAATTAACTCTGACTTTGACTAGGTCGGAATTATCTAGGACTTTGACTAGGCCGGAATTATCTCGGACTTTAACTAGGCCGGAACTAACTCTGACTTTAACTAGGCCGGAATTAACTCTGACTTTAACTAGGCCGGAATTAACTCTGACTTTGACTAGGTCGGAATTATTTCGGACTTTGACTAGGCCGGAATTATCTCGGACTTTGACTAGGCCGGAATTATCTCGGACTTTGACTAGGCCGGAATGATCTCGGACTTTGACTAGGCCGGAATTAACTCAGATTTTAACTAGGCCGGAATTATCTCGGACTTTGACTAGGCCGGAACTATCTTTGACTTTAACTAGGTCGGAATTAACTCTGACTTTGACTAGGCCGGAACTATCTCGGACTTTGACTAGGCCGGAATTATCTCGGACTTTAACTAGGCCGGAATTATCTCTGACTTTGACTAGGCCGGAATTAACTCTGACTTTAACTAGGCCGGAATTAACTTTCACTTTAACTAGGCCGGAATTAACTCTGACTTTGACTAGGTCGGAATTATCTAGGACTTTGACTAGGCCGGAATTATCTCGGACTTTAACTAGGCTGGAACTAACTCTGACTTTAACTAGGCCGGAATTAACTCTGACTTTGACTAGGTCGGAATTATTTCGGACTTTGACTAGGCCGGAATTATCTCGGACTTTGACTAGGCCGGAATGATCTCGGACTTTGACTAGGCCGGAATTAACTCTGATTTTAACTAGGCCGGAATTATCTCGGACTTTGACAAGGCCGGAATTATCTCTGACTTTGACTAGGCCGGAATTAACTCTGACTTTAACTAGGCCGGAATTATCTCGGACTTCGACTAGGCCGGAATTATCTTTGACTTTGACTAGGCCGGAATTTTCTCTGACTTTAACTAGGCCGGAATTTTCTTGAACTTTGACTAGGCCGGAATTATCTTGGACTTTGACTAGGCCGGAATTGACTCTGACTTTAACTAGGCCGGAATTATCTTGGACGTTAAGTAGGCCAAGATCATTTTATTTTTAACAATTAACTACTAATCTAAAATAGAGTTTATGATGAAACCACATTTTTAGTTTGTGGTTTTAAATGTAGTTAGAAAGGTTTAAAGTAAGTAGCTGTTCATGAAATGCTGTTTATGTTTGATCTTAGAACGATTCTTCATTGGAAAATCTCTGTCTCTGCATGCATGAATTTGCAGGTGCAAGATTTCGGTCTGCAGCATTTGTTTGGAATGAGAAGCCTTCGTCTTCTGTCTCTTGCAGGTATGATTTCTGCTTCACTATCATTCCCTTCATAAAGTCTGAGTATGATTAATGGGTATCCTGACTGAACTGTTTAGTTTCGATGTCTCTGATGTTTGACGTTAAAGGGGAACGCTGGTTCTTTTCCATTGGTCCTTGATTTTCCGTTATTCCATCATGTTCTACTCACCCATATGAGTTTAGTGTCATTTGGAGCCGTTCTGAAGATATTCCATTAGGTTATATCCACTAACGTCTTCCTATGGGCAACGACTTGAAGGCACATTTATTCTTTATGGTACGCCAGCATTCAGAACATGGAGGCCAATCACTGTCCCCCAGACATCCACCATTAGATTTTTTTGATTTTTATCTTTTTAAAACAAAGCAGCGTGTGTATGATGTCATCCACGCGCCGGCTACCATTCATTCCAGCATCTAGAAACAAAGGTGTTGATGGCAGCAGCACAGCTGATATTTCTCTCCAGGATGGAGTCACAGCCAAACAGGAACAGACCAGATGAAGCTACTATGAGAAAAAGCAGAGAGAGCAGAACGTTAGAGATTGAACTAACAGATTCTGCAGAGTGGGAGAATAGAGATAGAATGAAGCAGAATGATGAACAGTTTAGTTTGTGCCTTCAAGTCGTTGTCCATAGGAAGACGTTACTGGATATAACCTAATGGAATATCTTCAGAACGGCTCCAAATGACACTAAACTCATATGGGTGAGTAGAACATGATGGAATAACGGAAAATCAAGGACCCAATGTAAAAAAAACGGCGTTCCCCTTTAAATGTCTTCAAACTGTGGCTGGTCGAATGCTAGCGGCTCCTCTCTGGTCCAACTGCTTCTGTTCCCACCTGCAGCTGCGGCTTTAGGAGAAAACTGAAGATAGGCTGGATCTGCAGAGTTTCAATGCCCCTGAGTTAGCTCAGAGTTAGCTTATGAAATGCAGCGCAACCTGCCTGTAATTCACAAGTCCTTCAGTTTCCCCTCAGGAAAGGGTTACAGTTTGTAAATAGTGAAATAATATTCCTGTCTGAGCTCCTCCTTGATATTAATGTTGTCCCTCTTCAGTTTCATGTTCCCACTCTTCAGTCCTACTCAGCTCCCCTGAGGAGGAACTAAAACAGACAGCCTGGCTGGAACAAACCACTGATGGAAATGTTTAGGAAGTGGGCCGATTGGAGAGGGGCGGGGCTTAGTAGAGCCCATGGAGAAGAGTCATTAGTACGCCGCTTCTCAAGGCCTCAACAACAAAGAGACCATTGTAGAGATATGGAGGCAGGGTGCAACCTTTTCAAAAGAATTCTGTGGATTTAGGCACTTAATGGTCATTTTACATAACAATTCATACAATATTAATCACACCATTAAATGTCTAATTTGAATAAAAAGTTCAGTTCTAAAGCACCAAGCTAATCACAATCAAACAAAATAACACACAATTCATAAAAAACTGAGAATACTGGTAGACAGATTTGTTCATAGATAAAAGCAAATTAAAGAAGACCCTTTACTTTCTGAGGTCTTCCTGTTTTAAACCCTTTAAAAACCTGCAAGAAACCTAAAACATGGTCAATGTCCGGAAGCCAGGTGGCGCCATTGAGTTAAGAGACTCCAAAGTTCTTTGCAATACATTCAACCATTGCACATGGGAGCACACAGCTGACCTGGGGCACACAGCTGACCTGGGGCACACAGCTGACCTGGGGCACACAGCTGACCTGGAACACACAGCTGACCTGGGGCACACAGCTGACCTGGGGCACACAGCTGACCTGGGGCACACAGCTGACCTGGAGCACACAGCTGACCTGGGGCACACAGCTGACCTGGAGCACACAGCTGACCTGGGGCACACAGCTGACCTGGAGCACACAGCTGACCTGGGGCACACAGCTGACCTGGAGCACACAGCTGACCTGGGGCACACAGCTGACCTGGGGCACACAGCTGACCTGGGGCACACAGCTGACCTGGGGCACACAGCTGACCTGGAGCACACAGCTGACCTGGGGCACACAGCTGACCTGGAGCACACAGCTGACCTGGGGCACACAGCTGACCTGGAGCACACAGCTGACCTGGAGCACACAGCTGACCTGGAACACACAGCTGACCTGGAGCACACAGCTGACCTGGAGCACACAGCTGACCTGGGGCACACAGCTGACCTGGAGCACACAGCTGACCTGGGGCACACAGCTGACCTGGGGCACACAGCTGACCTGGAGCACACAGCTGACCTGGAGCACACAGCTGACCTGGGGCACACAGCTGACCTGGGGCACACAGCTGACCTGGGGCACACAGCTGACCTGGGGCACACAGCTGACCTGGGGCACACAGCTGACCTGGGGCACACAGCTGACCTGGAGCACACAGCTGACCTGGGGCACACAGCTGACCTGGGGCACACAGCTGACCTGGAACACACAGCTGACCTGGAGCACACAGCTGACCTGGAGCACACAGCTGACCTGGAGCACACAACTGACCTGGAGCACACAGCTGACCTGGGGCACACAGCTGACCTGGGGCACACAGCTGACCTGGAACACACAGCTGACCTGGAGCACACAGCTGACCTGGAACACACAGCTGACCTGGGGCACACAGCTGACCTGGAGCACACAACTGACCTGGAGCACACAGCTGACCTGGGGCACACAGCTGACCTGGGGCACACAGCTGACCTGGAACACACAGCTGACCTGGAGCACACAGCTGACCTGGAGCACACAGCTGACCTGGAACACACAGCTGACCTGGGGCACACAGCTGACCTGGAGCACACAGCTGACCTGGAGCACACAGCTGACCTGGAGCACACAGCTGACCTGGAGCACACAGCTGACCTGGAACACACAGCTGACCTGGAGCACACAGCTGACCTGGAACACACAGCTGACCTGGGGCACACAGCTGACCTGGAGCACACAGCTGACCTGGAGCACACAGCTGACCTGGAACACACAGCTGACCTGGAACACACAGCTGACCTGGAGCACACAGCTGACCTGGAACACACAGCTGACCTGGGGCACACAGCTGACCTGGAACACACAGCTGACCTGGAGCACACAGCTGACCTGGAACACACAGCTGACCTGGGGCACACAGCTGACCTGGAACACACAGCTGACCTGGGGCACACAGCTGACCTGGAGCACACAGCTGACCTGGAGCACACAGCTGACCTGGAACACACAGCTGACCTGGAGCACACAGCTGACCTGGAACACACAGCTGACCTGGAACACACAGCTGACCTGGAGCACACAGCTGACCTGGAACACACAGCTGACCTGGGGCACACAGCTGACCTGGGGCACACAGCTGACCTGGAGCACACAGCTGACCTGGGGCACACAACTGACCTGGAGCACACAGCTGACCTGGGGCACACAGCTGACCTGGGGCACACAACTGACCTGGGGCACACAGCTGACCTGGGGCACACAGCTGACCTGGAGCACACAGCTGACCTGGGGCACACAGCTGACCTGGAACACACAGCTGACCTGGAACACACAGCTGACCTGGAGCACACAGCTGACCTGGAGCACACAGCTGACCTGGAGCACACAGCTGACCTGGAGCACACAGCTGACCTGGGGCACACAGCTGACCTGGGGCACACAACTGACCTGGGGCACACAGCTGACCTGGGGCACACAGCTGACCTGGAGCACACAGCTGACCTGGAGCACACAGCTGACCTGGAACACACAGCTGACCTGGAACACACAGCTGACCTGGAGCACACAGCTGACCTGGAGCACACAGCTGACCTGGAGCACACAGCTGACCTGGAGCACACAGCTGACCTGGAACACACAGCTGACCTGGAGCACACAGCTGACCTGGAGCACACAACTGACCTGGAACACACAGCTGACCTGGAGCACACAGCTGACCTGGAGCACACAACTGACCTGGAACACACAGCTGACCTGGGGCACACAGCTGACCTGGAGCACACAGCTGACCTGGGGCACACAGCTGACCTGGAGCACACAGCTGACCTGGGGCACACAGCTGACCTGGAGCACACAGCTGACCTGGGGCACACAGCTGACCTGGAGCACACAGCTGACCTGGGGCACACAGCTGACCTGGGGCACACAGCTGACCTGGGGCACACAGCTGACCTGGAGCACACAGCTGACCTGGAACACACAGCTGACCTGGAGCACACAGCTGACCTGGAGCACACAGCTGACCTGGGGCACACAGCTGACCTGGAGCACACAGCTGACCTGGAGCACACAGCTGACCTGGGGCACACAGCTGACCTGGGGCACACAGCTGACCTGGGGCACATTGACAGCTGTGTGGCTGCCTTACACTGGCGCCCTCAGCAGGCAATTGCAGTGAAGAGTCTTAACGCGACCACTGAGACAGACGGACCTGCTTACTCAACAAATACGTCTCTGACCTTGAGTGAAGAGAAGCTGTAAGACGCAGTGGTGGCTGGTGGAGTTTTCTCCGGGGGGCGATATAACTTGAAAATAGACCAAAAACTAATCAAATGTATAATAAGGTTTCACGCTAGTCTATTTATATGAATGCCAATAACAAAAAAAAGCATTTTAAAATGTTCTGCAAAGTGCTTTAAATCAGTCCTATCTGTCTTTATCCATGCTGGGTCAGATCCTGACCTTTGAAAAAGGAGGCAGGGAAAGCAGAATACAGGGTTAGCCTCTCTGCATGCAGTTAGCCTAGCCTTGGAGCTAAATAATTCTATAAACCTGTCAATGAGCCGCACTTTCTAACAGACGACTGTGACGTCAGCGCTGTGGAGGGAGGTGGTGTGAAAACAAAGCTGCGTTCAGCTCTGGGTGCAGGAGTCCGACGTCATGTAAGGGGCCAGAAAATATAGAAATTCACCAGAATAATTATGCAATTTTATGAGTTAAAACAAGCAAATGTCTGATCTAGACTGTTTTTCTTCCTTCCCTATAATGATTGAAATGGAGCCAAAACACATTACAGACACTTTGGTCAAAC